ATAATTAAATTCATACTTATTAGAAAGATTCTAGTATGATATAATTAATATAATTTAGAACATTTTAAGGAATAAACTCACCAACAAATTATGGAAAGCTCCTATGATTTTAAAAAAAGGCTTCAAACACTAATTTTATTTTAAAAATTATAACATTCCTTTTCAAAAGCTACAAACTATCTTCTTTTATCTAATAGTTCTAGTAATTTATTGATCAAATCAAAGAAATATAAGCTATCTAGAAAGTTACAAGTTTGCATTCCCAATAAAAATATAATAAATTGAGTTAGGCCTTAACATGCATGTTTTGCAAATGTGTTAAAAAATGGTGAATTATCATCTCACCAAGTTAATCGTGAATCAAACATCTTATTAGTGTGAACCTCTCATCTAATCGGTTTTGTATTAAAATTAAAATGATTTGATCAACTCAATCAATTTAAGCCTAAAATCTATTACTCAAACACAATAAAAGTTAATTAACAAATATTTTTTTAAAAAAATAAGATTGTTTTAGGATATGGAAAAAATCAAATTCCTTGAACTTATACATAGTTGTCTTTGTCATTAGTTCACATATTTTCTTCCAAAACCTTAATTACTTAATTAAAACTTAATATTATTTGTGCACTTTTGTCGCAACTAAAACATAAAAATATGTTATATAATGATGTTTCAACTTATTTGCGATATTTTTTGTATTAAAATTTCTTTAATGGTTATTTGATTAGGTTTGAGAATATATATTTTTTATTTTGAAGTATAAAATTATCAAATAATATTAACTAGTATTATGATTTATTTAGAACTTTTTAATGTAAACTGAGTCATCTAGTTTAACCACTTACTCATCATTCCCCCCTAGTACCTGACCTAGTTATTGCCTATGAATCATTTCCACATACGTCTTCCCAAGCGCAATTGAAAAATCAAAGCTATTTATAGCTTTGAATTAAAAATGAATTAATGGTTGGTTTGATTTTTATTGGAGAAGTTATTTTAGTTAGTCAAAGGGGAAATAAAGCATAAGATACTATATTGGTCATGAACGAACTTCCTACATCGATAAATATCATAGATAGTATTAATGACAATTATTTCTTGGCTTGAAGAAGAAATAAAAATAAAACACGAGTTATAACCTAACCAGATTTACCAAAACAATTTATTAATTAGAACATTTTTTTTACTTTTTACTAAAGAGTTTGTTTTAAACAAAATTAATAGCATAAAATATCACATTGGTCATGAATGGACTTCCTATTTGGATGAATAGGAGAAACATTAATAATGACCATGTATAAAGTAAGATATGACACGAGTAACAACTTCACTACTAAAATTCAAAAATAATTATTTAAAACATTTTTACTTAAATTATTATTTAATTGAAATAGAATTAATAATAAAAGAGATTGCATTGGTCGTGAACCGACTTTTTACTTCAATAAATAATATATTACTAATGATCACAACCATTTTTTACTCGACTAAGAGATTAAGATATGACATTAGTCATAACTTTACTATTAAATTCCAAAAATAATTTATTAAAATAATTTGTATTTAAATTTTTAAAGAATTGGATTCAATAGTAGGAGAAATCATTGGTCTTGAACGTCGATAAATAGCATATGCAATATTAATGATTGTAATTTCACTACTAGATTCTCAAAATAATTTATTTAAAATACTTTTTATTAAAAAAATAATATTTAACTTATTAATCAATGCAAAAAAAATAAAATAAAAAGGAAAATAATTAATTTTATTGAAATGAAGAATAGAAATAAAATAATAGCTAAAAAATTTAAAATAAAAGAGGAAAAGAAATATACTGGCTCCTGCCACATGTCAGTAGAAAATTGATTGATATGGAAAACAATATAATGCTCATAAACTTATTATTTGGGCTAGCTGTGTGGGAATTTAGATTATACGATCCAAATGAATTTTTAAATTTAAGTATATATTTATATATATTGTAATAATAAATCTATATAAAATAATTATTAAATGTATACTAAAATTAATATATTTATTAAAAAATTATTATATTTAATCACTACAATAACATTTAAAGACAATATAAAATAATTAAATATAAAAAATAATTTTATATATATATATATATATATATATATATATATATATATATATATATATATATAGAGGAGGTGAGTATCATGATATATGCATTCTCATCCTAATAAATTTGTGTGTGTACCAATTGCACCTATTTTATGAATACCCACAAAATTAATGAATTTGCTAACTCAAAAGTTTCCTAACTTCTGGTTAAAAATGAACATTCAATGAATATAAAATAGGTTATGCGGTATCTAAAACTGTTCTTATATTCATAAATAAAATTCATAGAATATTTAAAAAAAGATACCTAGTAGAGTAAAAATGTTTCATTTAGATTACAAAATTACTAGAGTATCCTTTCTAAAAATCATTTATTATTTGACTATTTTATCCTACAAAACCAGAAAAATAGATAAAAATGACTATTTAACTATTTTTATCCTATAAAACCACAAAATGACTATAATATCATATATATATTTTTGTTATTTTGAAGTTATAAATTATACTTTTTATTTTTTGTAAATAATCTAAAAATGCGTGAGATAAAACTGAATGTTCACATCTTGTATATAGATAACAAATTTATTTAATATGAGAACCACAAAATGTTCACTTTCTATTGGTTCAAAACAATAAGGACTATACTATGCAATATGCTTTGTGTGACTAAATACATATATACACATGTGTGCATAGTATTTTGGAAGTGGGAGTTTGATATGCCCCCTCACTTTTATATGGTAATTTAAAACTAGTTTTGCTTTTAATCCTATTTAAAGGTTAGTATGAAATTTTGAATACATTAATTGCTTCTTATTTTTTTGTACAAAAGTATCATTAGTTGAATGGAAAGATAAATCATTAATTGAATGAAAAAGAAGATGATCAAGTCTCAATATTGAAACTATCCTCACGCCTCTACAAGTATATGAACCCTCCAACCACTATAACATTGTACCCTTCATGTGAGAATGTTACCCTGTGATTAAAGTAATGTACACATAGCATATTGCATAATGTAGTCCTTATAAGTATAATACCTATAAAACTAGTAAAAAAAACAAAAAATAATGTACACATATTGCATAGGTGTGAACCTTACCTATCCCCTAACATGTAAAGCATTAACAAATAAATCATTGAACAAAGTTGTTAACTATGGACAACGTTTATTTCACTTAAGAAAAAAAAAATCATGAATAGCAAACACAATTTCTTAAAGGAGGAAAAATAAAAAGCAAAATCACGATTGTGAACCAAGATTTCAAAATATTAAAAAAAATTGAAATTGGGCTTTTAGTCACGAGTTTAGTGAAGAAGAAAAAATAATTACTGAAATGAAATCTATCAACCACAATTTTTCGTCACAAAAATGTTGTGGCTTACCATGGCGATTTCAATTTAACAATTTAAAAAGCATTATTTTACTAATAAATCAAAATATTAGTCAACATACTCCCCATGAAGTAAAATTTCTAATCAACACATGCCAATACAAATCCTCCTTAAATCAATTCTCAAATTATAGAAACACAATAAGTCAAACTTTATTCATTCACGGACATTTCATTATATTACTCAAACCAGTTCATCTTAAAGGAAAGAGTAATGTTATATTCTCCTACTAAATCCTCATATTAATCATTTTACCCACAAAAAATTGAGATATGTCACAAAGTAATACTTTATTTATTAGTGAATAGTTTACAAGTGAGTCACTTTCTTGTGGGTAGGAGGATATATCATTTTCCTAAAGGAAATAATAATGTTATATTCTCCTATTAAATCATCATATTAATCATTTTACCCACAAAAAAGTAACATATATCACAAAATGACACTTTATTTATTAGTGATTAATTTACAAGTGACATATGTCATTTTCTTGTGGGTATAAGAATAAATAGAAGAATTTAGTAGAAGGATATATCATTTTTATAAAGGAAAAAGTAAGTGTGGGTCTTCAAAATCTAAGATACACCGAAACTTGTGATCACCAATGTTTTTTGGACATGGGGAAGACTTATTAAATTCACTCAATCAGACCACTTGACTAAAGAGTTACCAATCCAACCAATGAGTTAATGGACGAATCAGTTTACTCAATTTACATTAAAAATTAATTACAATACTACATAACATCATTTAATAATTTTATATTCTAAATTTAAAAACATTACCATACATATGCACTATACTAATGAAAGTTAGGAGAAGATTCCCTTATTCCAATAGTAAAATTTTTAAAATTACTCCACATCTTAGTTATTAATTTAAGGAAAATCCAATTATTTGAATTAGTGAGTATATCTAACCATTAAATTTCCTTAGAATTGATGGTTAAGATGTAGAAAACTTACTCTTAATGTAAATGAATCTCTTGCCATAATATAAACTACCAAATGACAAACATAACTTTAAATAAGTTAAAAGCAATGGATTAGAAGCACATTTCATGGTTGAACTAATCGGACCGACTAGTTCAAGCCGAGTTTTATAACAATGCCAAAGAGTCAATCCAATCCAGCAAACCAAATAGAGGAATGACTTTCTATGGGGTAGAAAATCACCTACCATAGTCGAACCACTTTAAAAGCTTCAAATCAAGTGAGTGAATGAACTGTTTTGCTCATACAAAAAAAGTCAAAAAAAAAAGGAAAATATGCATTAAAACCAATTGTGAAACCCTATCGTGTCTAAACTTTCATTCGATCGAATAATATATATGACATCGTCCGACCCAATCAAATAGTTTAATAAAATAAATCATATACAAAACCTCATACACACATAGCAAAAATAAGTTGGTGACACAAAAATTGCTCTTACACAAAGCATTCAAGATGAAAATTTGATATCCTCCGCTGTGACAAGTGTCACTTATAAAAGATTAAGTGTGCATATTTTCATTCATTTTTAATTAAAGTTTATTTTGTAATATTTAGAATTTTATGGACCTCATGATCAACAGTAAAGTACTGGAGAGGATCCAGACCCATATTTCAAAAGTAAACTTAATACATATCCAATAGTCTTAGTTCAATATTCATACACCTTAACTAGAAAAGCCTACCCTCAACACCGGAACTCGAATAATAAGACCATAATTGCCTAATTGTCGTGATCCTGTTGAAAAAACACAAGGCTAAGCTCAACTTGGTTGTGCGAGTTAAAATTTGAGAACAAAGCAAGATCGATAATTTGAAACAATATTGTTGAATATAAAAACGCAAAATGGCCTAATGATGGAAGAAATACCTCAGCTCTCATGTTGGATGATGAACGATTCTGTTATCACAAGGGCTTTGAGGTTTACTCAGGGAGAAAGTGGAGAGAAAGGTTAGAAAAGAAAAGCCTCGTTGGGAATTTATGGTGCGGTGTTTCTTGAAATGCGGACCCGAATCCTCTCATGGATCGGCCCGGTTATACGCAAAGGCCCTTTTGTAAGTTAAACAAATCATGAGAAGTTTAAAAATATCATTGATAGTACCAAAAAAATATAGTTACTATATCTCACATGTTATTTGGGTAAAATTTTTAAAAGTCTACATTGAAAATATGGTTAGTAAATTTATGCAAGTTGTTAGTTCTATCTAAATTTTACTATATTATAAGGCCAAGAATGTTACATGAACTGAAGTTTGAATGATAAAATGTAATAATAATAGGGGAGAGATCCACTTACTCCAAAAAACACTTACTTTTCATCTTAGCCATCCAATCTTGAAAAATTCAATGGTTTAGATGTACTCACCAATTCAAACCATTGGATTTCCAAGAATGAATGATCATGATGTGGAGTAAGTGTTTTTCCACTTACTCTAAGAGTAAGTGGATCCCTCCCCATAATAATAAAACAAAGTGTTTTTGTTTGTAAAAAAAAAAGACGCATAAAATCAGAGATGAACAACAGCATGCATTAAATACCCGTTGAATATTTCACTGGGTCTACTTAATTATGCAGCGGTTGCATTCCAACTGATTTAACTCCCAAGATTTACATGATTGCACTTATCCTCAACTAATGTAACGTGAAGAGGAAATGACATAATTATTTTGAGCTGACTAACTAAAAGACAACCAAACTTTTGTAAGTCACATTATCTTGTGTTAGAGAAGTGATTGTTGGAAATTAAGAATGAGAATTATCGCTTAACACATGGCCAGATTCCAAGATTTACTGTATTAGGATTTCATAAATCATTTAATATCTATATACTATTATTGTAAAAATTTATGCATAGTTATTATATCATCTATTATTCATTTGCATTTTTTAAAGTTAATACTAATTAAATATAAAAAATGAATAATATATGATACTATATAAAACTTATATAGAATGTGACAGATTAACTTGCTACATGATTATTTAGGGACAGTCCAAATCCTAGCACTAATATGAAATATCTAAATTCTAAACAAGTGAGAGAAGGTGGATTTAATTTAAAGCTGGCACAAAGCCGAAACTATAGTGGGTGCCAATTAAGAGTGGTCAAACACAAGACCCATCATATCATCTTATACACATCCAAGTACTGATGTTAAGTCAAAATGAGATGGCTGCACTGCAAATGCGCCAGGCTTAGTTAAATTTTGGGGTTCTATTTCTTACACGTAATTCATAATTTCATTCCAATATTATCCTTATACATCATAAAAAAGAAATTTGAATGTTGATTTTCTTTTCATAACTAAATGTATGGCAAGGTATAAATCTCTGCTTCTACTAAAAATTTCACTCACAGAAATTGTTGGTATGTTAATTTAATAATTCCTCTCCCCACTTTTTACAGGGATACAAACGCACGTGATTCCTCATTTTTCTCACATGGAGCTGAGCAGGTAAGCAAAATGGCAAGCACGTGAGTTTAGCATATCTCTAGACGGAAATTAATGAAAACGAATCCTTTCTATTTTTTAATATTTCCGTTTGAGTTTAATACTTTTATTGTTAATAGTGTGTCATTTAAATTAAAAGTCATAAACCATTTTCATAACAAGGGTAATAACATAAAAGGAAAAGGAGTCCAAAGGCATTGAACTTTTGAGCATGTCCTTCAATTACATGCACTTTTGGATAGCAAATATCAAATCGCTTGACACAGGAGATGGACCTACCATTTCCAATTAGGGATTCAGTCACATTGGAATAATCTGTCAGATATCTTTTCACTTCAATGGGATGAAGCAAAGAGATTTTTCCAACCAAATTTGTGCCAATGCTTAAATCCTAGGGACACATAGAAAGGGGAAACTTAATAGCGACTGAAATCATGTTAAATTAGTTAGTCATTTTGAAAGGGAAAGTCATGGCATGTTTCAAACCAAAGTGTACATTTTATATTAGAAGAAAATAAACTTGTTCCACCCAATTGAATCTTATAATAAAGGATCACACGCTAAGAAGCACATGTGTGGACCACTGAACACAGAGACAGAGGAGTAATGCTCTCATTAAAGTATTGTGAATTTATTAAAATGAGAACTTTAATTTGTCATTTAACCAAAATAAACGATGTGAGTTTAAATCGAGAAGAGAGTAAAAATTAAAATAGTACAAGACATGAAGATTTGGGATCAGACTGACGTGCAAATGAATTATCAATTCACCAGAGCTGGCGCCTCTTTTTCAGTCTTTGGTAACACTTCCCAAGACTTCTCACTTCTCACTCCACACAAATATAAGAAGCAAGAAGAGTACTGCTTGCTACAAAATCACTCTATCAAATTTTATTATAATAGACGTTAAAATTTGATAGAGTGTAGTAATATTTCATTATTTTGGTATTACGAATGGGTTCACAAGTAAGATATGTGATTTACCGTGGTAAGAGAATTTAGTATAATGATACATACTAATCTTAAATTAAAAAAACAACGAATAAAACTAAAAACGGTAAAGGGGAAAAAGTTACTAGATTCCATATGTTTTTGGGTCAGAAAATAACAAAAAACTACAGCAATTATACTGAAAGGCTTAACCAAACAAGAACTATATGTTAGTGATCATCATCATTCATCAATAAGAACAATAACACTTAAAATTACACTCATGTATTTACAGAATTAAAAAAAATCAGTTACATGAGCAAAAAGTAACCCCAAACCCCAATCACCCAACAATTCCCTGCAATATTTTTCCCTTGATATTAAAAGCATGAACATAAATTTTGCAGTGGAAAAAGCAAAAAAAGGAAAAAGAAATACAACACAAGTGTTACCGTTACCCCTGTCTGTTATGACTGTTTTTTTGTTGTTAGTTCCGATTGCAACGGTGCCTGTTGCTTCCACTTCCAGCAGCAGCAGCAGCTTCTTTCTTCTGTTGCACGGAAGAGGAGAAAAACGGGCCTAGCCCAAAAACCGAACCGGATTTAGAAGAACCCATTAAGGAACAAACCGAGACGTTAAGAACCGGAGTGACCCTAACATTAGAGGAGTAAGAGCGTTCCATTCCTCTGTGCTTAAAGCGGGGACCACCGTTAAAGCTACTAGGACTGCTTGAGCTTCGTACCAAGCTCTGAAACACTATTTTCCCTGAAGAGTTCATTCTTGGACTGTCCACTGAAACTCCCCTACTCTCTACCGCACCCGATTCATCTTTCTGGGTCGGGTTTATTACAACCCGGTTACAGTGATTCGGGTTAGGATTGTTGGTTTTGTCGATTGAGCCTGTTCTGTTCTTGGCGAATCTCATCCTTGGGTGAGCGTTGGGGTTTCGGTGTAGGGAAATATGGATCGGGTTGGGGGCGGGTTTATCCGAATCGAGGGAGAGTCTATGGAGATCTTCGTAGTCGTGACCAGAGGAAGATGAAGATGAGAGTGAGAGACGAGATGAGAGTGAAATGGATTCGGAGTCTGAATCTTTTAACAGTGGAAGTGTCATAGTACTGTTTTCATACGACGACGACGACGTCGTTTTGGAGCAGCGATGGTGGATGAACTGCTTTATAGATTTGGTTGAAGACGACGACGACGTCGTTTTATGAGTCTCGGAAATAGTGTTATTATTAGAAAGCTGTTGCTTCTTCTTCAGTCCTAAGAGCTCTCTCCAGCGGCTAGAGCAGTTCGGAGCTTTCAGGAAGAACAAGAATGGCTCCTTAGGCTTCGGTGTAGCGGTGGTGGAGGGAGTGGATGGGTTTAGAGAAGAGAGGTGAAGGGGGAGGAGCTTGCCATCGGAGAAGAGTTCGTCGGCGGGGAGCATTGTGACGGGATGTTCGAGGCAGAACTCGAAGTCACCGGAAGAGGCATCTAGATGTGGAAGATTATCCGGCGAGTGGTTGGGGTTGAGCCAGGTGAATGAGGAGAAGTTGTTGTTGTTGTTGTTGTTGTTGTTGTTGTTGACACATGCGGAAGCCATACACAGTGAAAGGTGGCAAAGGTAGTAGTGTGATACTGGAGAGTAGAGAGATATTGTAGAGCTTCTCTTTATGCACGTTGAAGTGATCTTTAAACATTTAAATAAAGGAAGCTTTTAAAATAGTTTTTGCATTACTTATTTTATTTTATTTAGAAATAGTTTGATCTTATAAGTTTGAAGAATTTAAGTTACTTAGAAGTAGCAACTAATCAATCAACTATTTCCATCTAACAGCTTGATAATTATGCCCCCCCTTCACTTCATGACCATGTGAAATTATTACATGATCATGTGACAACATGAAATTTTTCACAGTTCAATAAAGAGGAAATGTGAATACACAATCTTGGCCTCTTGGTTTAGGTAGAAACAGCATGATTGGGCGAGGGAGGTGGACAAATATTTACTATATAAAATTGGGAAATAGTTGAAGATCCATCCAAACAACATTGCAGGATAGCACATCATGAATAAGCGACTTCGAGAGACAGGAAGAAATAGTGAAGTGGACAAATAAATCAATAATAATGCATATACCCTTTAATCATCTTTAGACAATGTTCCGACAACAACACATACACCAACTTTGGCCTATTCTCTTTATAATATTTGGTATTCTTTACCATTCAACAAGTTATGAGAAAAAAAACGTAATATTCTATTGTTAAAAAACGTAAATTTTATAATTCTTATTTTCTAATAATATATTGGTAGTCGTGCAACACTCCTGGAATGTAGGCATAATTAGTCGAACATTGTTACCAAATTCTTTAGTTTCTTCTCTTCTATTTATTCTATATACTTTATTTGATTTTTTGTGAACAATACTACACAATGATCGGTTCCACTGCACCGTTGTTGAATGTAAGCTTCATTCTCAAGACATTACATTTAAGAATGGGTCAATAAAATCTAGATAAACTAGGAATGATCTGGTAAGATGGCCCAAACTGATGTGGACGTCCAATCATAAAGATTGGGCTCAATATGAATGAATAAAATTATTTCAATGAAATTGTATAAAATCTCATTATTACACATATAATTTTGAAAGTTTTACGGTGTATTAGTCGACAAAAGAATGAAGAACCAGACCCAAACATAGATTTTATTATCCCAGCATATCCCGGTTCTTTTTCTTCTTCTTGTTCTTCTTGCATTGTACTGTTCAATGGATTCTATGTTCTCTCTGAAACCCCATAGTCACAGTGTGTTTCTGAAAGCACCTTCTTCCTCTCTCTTTCTCCCTCTCAACTTCCTCTCCTTTCGTCCTCTCTCTGCTTCCAAACACGCCAAGGTTCAGTGTGACCTTGAATCCAAACTCAATGCTTCTCTTTCTGCTCATTCTGACTCTCTTTTTCTTGATAGGGTATGTATGCTTCTTTCTTTTTCTTTTTTTTTGTTATCTATTATATTAGGTCAGCCTCAAACTTCAATATTTTCACTTTTATTGACCTTTATTTTGAAACTCGTAATCCATCAAACTGTTCAGTAGATTCTTATCTTTGAGAGTGCTGTGTTTGTATCAGCCACATATAACCCAGATCATTCTCTATAACCTTTTCAATAAAGAAATAAGTCCTACGAGTTAGTAACTTTATAACCTTTTCAATAATACCGTAATAAAACAAGTGGAGGTTCTTTCTCTCTTGTGATTTAATCATTTGATAAAGCATACATAAATGGTATTAAGGGATTTTAACTTATATACCATCTTTAGAAAGATGTGATGTGAAATTGTGAATTACCATTTAGCTACTACCTTGAACATTTCTTATGTCAGTTATTACTAATGCTAATGTGGTTGATTATATCATATATTCCTAAATTAATATAAAATATGTTCAACTTGACAACCCAATTTTTATTCTAGCAAAAAGCACTAGAAGCTGCGATGAATGATATAAACAACTCATTTGGAAAGGGAAGTGTTACAAGATTGGGTAGTGCTGGTGGAGCTCTGGTGTATGTTTCTTCTCCATGTTCTTTGTCCCTTTTTCTCACTTATTTCCCCCACTCATTTTGATTGAAGTTTTGAAAATTGTTAAGCTGTAGCCTGCTGCTATTTTCTGTGGCTTAGATCAGATGACATGTAATGTGTTTTCTATCATCTTGAATGTCACAGTGAAACTTTTCCCAGTGGCTGTTTGACACTAGACTGTGCTTTAGGTGGTGGTCTTCCAAAAGGAAGAATTGTAGAGGTATTGGCTTTATGCTTCTATCAATTCTCCATTTTTTCTGATCTTTTCTGCATTCATTGCGTTCTTAATGGAATATGGAATATGAATTTTAATGGTCTTTGCTTTAAGAAGAACAGGTTATATTCTCTGGATAGGGATTATATTTAAATTTCAGTATTTAGTAGTAGTTTTGCTGTTATCTGGGGATTCTGGTAAGTTAGGATTGCTTGGTTATCAAGCTGGATTTGCCTCTTTGATTGCTATGTACCATAGTTGCAGATTAAACTTGAACATTGGGTTGAAACCACTGCTAAACTTCTGTTTCATACTTTATTTTGCACTGTGATAGAATTGTTCTTTTTCCCTTGACTAATTTGTTTTGTCAACCTAACAGTATCTGGTATATTTATTTCTAGATATTTGGACCAGAAAGCAGTGGTAAGACAACCCTTGCACTCCACGCTATTGCAGAAGTGCAGGTAATTCATCTATCTGGACTTTTCCCAATGATTAATTCTTGTTCATGACGGTTTACTTGATGTAAACATGTTTATGGGAACAATGTGCAATTTTGTCTGTGATGTGCAGAAGTTGGGTGGCAATGCAGTGCTTGTTGATGCTGAGCATGCTTTTGATCCAACATATTCTAAAGCCTTAGGAGTGGATGTAGAAAATTTGATTGTCTGTCAACCTGATCATGGAGAGATGGGTCTTGAGAGTAATTTCTTTGCCCTTAATGTGTTTATGTAGAAAACTTGATATTGATAAGATACTTTTGGCAGTGTCCACAGTGCAATATCAGAGTGCTGTATGGTGTCTATGAATTGATTGAACTTTCCATGTATAGTCGCAGACCGTCTGTGCAGATCTGGAGCTGTAGATCTCATTTGCGTGGATTCTGTCTCAGCTCTCACTCCACGAGCAGAAATTGAAGTAATTAAACACTTTTCTTGTTTTTAGTTTTTAGGCACATGTGTTTTATAATCTATGGGATAGCAATTTATTTCTAACTGTATTATTCATGTAAATACATAGGGTGAGATTGGAATGCAGCAAATGGGATTGCAGGCTCGTCTTATGAGCCAAGCTTTGCGTAAGATGTCTGGAAATGCATCTA